AGCTCAAGTAAACCCAGTGCAACCCCACCAAAACCTCCAGACCTCTCCTCTGTACCATCCGTGTATCATGACCTGGCTGAGGTGTTCAGCAAACAGTGGGCTCAATCATTACCACCTCACAGACCTTACGACTGCGCCATTGAGCTGCTGCCCGGAGCCCCCCTTCCCACCAGCAGGCTCTACAACCTCTCCGCACCTGAGCGAGAAAGCATGGAAACCTACATAACAGACTCCCTGAACTCAGGTATCATACAACCTTCCTCTTCTCCACTTGGTGCCGGTTTCTTTTTTGTGGAAAAGAAAGATAAGACCCTGAGACCCTGCATTGATTATTGGGGCTTAAACAACATCACCGTCAAAAATAAATACCCATTACCCCTCATTAACTCTGCGTTTGAACCTCTCCGTGGTGCTACTATCTTCACGAAGCTGGACCTGCATAACACCTACCACCTGGTGCCTATAAAAGAGGGTGATGAGTGGAAAACGGCATTCAACACACCCCTGGGACATTTCGAGTACCTTGTGATGCCGTTTGGGTTAACTAATGCTCCAGCCGTTTTCCAAGCATTAGTTAATGATGATCTGAGAGACTTCCTGAATCATTCTGTGTTCGGTTATCTGGATGACATTTTGATTTTCTCCCGCAACCTCGAGGAGCACATTGTGCATGTGTGACAGGTTCTGCAGAGGTTGCTGGAGAATAAGCTGTTTGTGAAGGGGGAGAAGTGCGAGTTTCATGTGACCTCTGTTTCCTTCCTGGGGTACATCCTGGAGAGCGGGCAGGTGAGACCAGATCCCACGAAGATCCAGGCAGTGACGGACTGGCCCCAACCCAAGTCTCGCAACAAGCAGCTCCAGAGGTTCCTGGGCTTCGCGAATTTCTACCAGCACTTCATCAGGAACTACAGTCAGGTAGTTGCACCTTTAACCCAACTCACTACTTCTTCTGTGCCTTTGTCTGGTCTCCTGTGGCTGAGGATGCCTTCAGGGAGCTGAAGAAGCGCTTCACCTCGGCTCCCGTCCTGGTTCAGCCAGATCCTGCCAGCCAGTTCGTGGTTGAGGTCGACGCTTCTGACGTCGGGGTGGGCGCTGTGTTATCCCAAAGAGCTGCAGGAGACAACAAGCTCCATCCTTGTGCATTCTTTTCCAAGAAACTGTCACCTGCGGAGCGAAACTATGACGTGGGAAACCGGGAGTTGCTGGCTGTCAAGTTGGCTCTGGAGGAGTGGAGACACTGGCTGGAGGGAGCGGAATCACCTTTTACGGTATGGACTGATCATAAAAATTTGGCTTACATTCAAAGTGCTAAACGATTGAACTCTCGCCAAGCCCGGTGGGCTTTGTTTTTTGGCCAGTTCAACTTTAACCTCACTTACAGGCCAGGGAGCAAGAATGTTAAGCCTGACGCCTTATCTAGGCAATTTCACGATGAAGGGGGCAGCCCACCTGTGCCAGACACCATTCTCCCCCCGTCCTGTCTTGTTGGTTCTCTGACCTGGGAAATTGAGTCCGTGGTTAGGACTGCTTTCCGTACTGACCCAGATCCTGGTGGTGGTCCCCAGGGTCATTTGTTTGTGCCAGTCTCTGTCCATCCTCAGGTCCTCCAGTGGGGGCACACATCCCGGTTCGCCTGCCATCCTGGAACCTTCCGCACCCTGACGCTCCTACAACGCCATTTCTGGTGGCCCACCATGTATTCAGACACCCGTGAATATGTCAAGGCCTGTACTGTGTGTGTGTCCGCGGTAAAGCGACCCATCGGCCACCTGCTGGACTCCTCCGTCCACTCCCAGTGCCCGGCCGTCCATGGTCCCACATAGCCCTGGATTTCGTGACCGGATTACCTCCATCCCAAGGTAAAGACACCATTCTAACGATTGTGGATCGTTTTTCCAAGTCTGTTCATTTTGTGGGTCTTCCTAAACTGCCCTCTACTGCTGAAACTGCTGAACTGTTGGTGGATCATGTGTTCCACATTCATGGAATTCCAGCCAACATTGTGTCAGACAGAGGCCCCCAGTTTACTTCTCAAGTATGGAAGGAGTTTTGCTGAGCACTGGGTGCTACAGTGAGCCTGTCATCAGGTTACCACCCCCAGTCTAATGGTCAGACAGAGAGGGCCTACCAGGACCTGGAGACCACCTTCTGCTGCATATGTGCTCGGAACCCAGCTTCATGGAGCACTCGCCTCGCCTGGGTGGAGTATGCACACAACTCCCTGACGTCAGCAGCTTACGGGTATGACACCATTTGAAGCCTCTTTGGGTTACTTACCACCTGTTTCCCTCCCAGGAGCAGGAGATTACCGTGCCATCGGTCCAGCTCAACCTCCACAGGATCCGCAGAGTCTGGAGGGAGACCAGAGCGGCTCTCCTGCGCACCCAGGACCAGAACCAGAGGTTGGCTGACCAGCGGCGTACTCTTGCTCCGGAGTACAAACCAGGACAAAAAGTGTGGTTGAATGCGAAGGACATTCCCCTCAGTGTGGCTTCTAAGAAACTGTCTCCCAGATTCATTGATCCGTTTGAAGTTGAGTCAGTTGTTAATCCCTCTGCTGTTCGCCTCAAACTCCCTGCCTCTTTAAAGATCCACCCTACCAGTACCTTGTGCCCTCCTACCATCGCCCCTCCACCCCCCGTCTCATTGATGGACACCCGGTGTTCACTGTCAGCCGCATACTGGATGTCCGCCGCAGGGGGCGTGGCTACCAATACCTGGTGGACTGGGAGGGATATGGACCCGAGGAAAGGAGCTGGATTGTTCGGGGGCTGATCCTGGACCCCTCTCTCCTCGCTGACTTATACCGGAGACACCCCGACAAGCCTGGTAGACCGTCTGGAGTCGGTCATTGAGGGGGGGGTACTGTCATGATCCTCATCATGGCAGCCCCTCCCTCTCCCTCATGTGTGTGTGTGTCATTCCCTGTCTGTATTACTCCTCCTGTGTTTCTCCCCCTGTCTGTTCTGTGTGTGTGCATGTGGGCGTGGCTTCCTTCCACAGGCAGTGCCAGGTGAATCCACTCCAGTAATCAACCTCTCCATAAAGCCTCTGGATTCCTCCCTACTTGTCGCCAGATTGTTTCATCAGTCTGTGCGGTAGTTTGTATCCTGGCTCCTGTGTTTTTGGCCTTGTGCTTTGTTAGCTTGTGTAGCTAATGCCTCTGTGTTTCTTCCGCCTCAACTCAGATTGCTGTGCTTGCCTCGTGATCTCGTGTGTGCTACTTCACTGCCTGCCTGTGGACCTTCCTGCCGCCGTCAGCTCTCCTGTGTTTCCCCTCAGAGTGAGTACACTCAAGAAGACGGAACCTACTGCGCCGTGCCGCAGCACTGCCGCCATTACCACGTGGCGGACGCCACACCACGGACACTCTCACTCTCCTCCTCACCGGTGCCTTCACGGAACACGTCGGGATCCTGGGACCACGCTCCACCCCTCCCCCTTGCACTATTCCGCACATTTGAACATTAAAGACTTGTTATTCACTGTACCTGTTTCCTGAGTCGTGCTTTTGGGTCCAGGCTTTAAACCAAATCATAACAAAAAGGAATACTTCACCCACAAAATGACCATTTATAAATCAGTCATGCACTGTGTTACCTTAAATTCATGAAAACTTTGTTTATCTTGCATGCCTCCATGGAAAATGCAAATATAATGATTGATTGCGGATCATTTTGCTAAAAACCTTAGTGTTGGAGTCAGGCTTTGAAGGGAGCAAAAATCAGTTATGTCAGTTCAGTTTTAAATAGTGAAGTTTTAGTGAAAATGCATGTTATTTATTTACTTTATTAATCCCCCTGAGGGGAAATTCAATGTTTTCACTCTTGTCAATTACACACAAGTCCGAAAGACACACACATGCACAAACAGGACCTATACATGCACAAAGTGGAGAGATGTCAGAGTGAGGGGGCTGCCCTTGGTGAGGCGCCCCGAGTGGTTGGGGGGTTCGGTGCCTTGCTCAAGGGCACCTCGGCAGTGCCCAGGAGGTGAACTGGCCCCTCTCCAGCCACCAGTCCACGCTTCCATATTTTGGACTTCTACTGTTGTTTAACGTCATCCCCAACCAATAAATCAATCAATATTGTTGCCATTTTCCATGGAGGCCTGCAAGAAAAACAGTTCTCCTCACAAATCCAAGCTAACACAGCATGACTAACTGATATATAAATGGTTATTTTGTGGGTGAATTATTCCTTTAATGGCTTAAAACAGTTACCAAATTAGTTTGACCAGTCCTTTCTGCTGGGCTCTTGCAGAAGAATCACTAACTTTTAGATCAGATCAACGCCTGTAAAGCTTAAAACATTTTACAACATACAGGAAAGTAATTAGAGAGAGACTAAAAATAATCTCTTTGTTAAATCTCTATTCCATTTCTAAATGTTCTGCTTCCAAAGACACAAAATCTGTAGGCTGATTATTTTGTAAATGAAGAGAAAAGGTTTAATTTCGGGTGAACTTAGAGAAATAGGATTTCCTTTTAAAACAAATGATAAGTTCTCATAAAGACTAAAGATCAAATGTGTGTGTGTGTGTGTTTTTGGCGTGTGCATGTGTGTGTGTGTGTGTGTGTGTGTGTGTGTGTGTGTGGCCTGTTTGTTAAATTCCAGGATTTGTAATCAGATGCATATCTCACATGCTGTGTGATGCTTTACTGTTACAGCTTAAAGGCCGAGGGCAACCCCCCACCCCACCAAACACCCACACTTGACACTTCTTATCTCCATCTCTTGGTCCCTTATTCAGCACTCACAGTTGATGTGTTTACAAAATTTGACATGCAAAGCAGTATAGACGAAATGCACCAGCAATAGGCTGCTATCAGTTTACTGTATCGCTCAGTTTCTGTCTCACCTCCAAAGGTGTCACGATGGCAGTGGTGGTGGTGGTGATGATGACAATGATGATGATGCATGCTGTGTGCAACGATATAAAACCAGTGGTCAGTGGGCAGTTGGAGCATACGACCATCAGAACTTCTACGACAACTTCTGCTCTTGATTCTTTTCACAGCGTCACTTCAGTGTAACTTCCTCCAGATGGTAAGAAATAACCTTCGTGTTGTACCATGTCCTTATTTATAGATTTTTTAAAAATAATTTTACAATTATGATTACTATTTTAATATTTTATTGCTTTTTATATATAATGCCATATGTTCTAACATGGGCTGCTTTTAAATTATTCTTTTATAATTATTTTTAATGTGGCATTTGATTGTATTGTTTCTCAGTTGAAGATGATTAATTAAAGTGATTGATTTTTATAATAACCTCCTCCGCTTGCTGTCACACAATCCTCAGGAGACCTTGTCACTGTGGATATATGGGCTTCTGCTCATCAGCCTCACCAGAGCACAGCAACTCAACCACTTTCCTGAAGGTTGTACGTCCTATTAATGCTCCACATTCTTTTCTATTATTCATTTTACATGTGTTGAATGGTTCTAAATCTGTCCGTCTTGACATGCCAATAAATGTGTGTCTCTGTCTTTTTCTCTATCTGTGTGTAGTTGTGGGGGCAAAATGGAAGGACTCAAATCCAGTCACACTGACCTGCCGTACAAAGACCAACGGAGATGTCACATGGAAGTTTGAAGGTGATGAGATGGAGGATGACGATTACGATGAAAAAATCCAGCGGAATGGTCGAGATCTGTCTGTGTCTATGGTAGAAAATCCCATGTTGGGAGAATACAGCTGCTGGAGAGGATCAGAAATGTTGTCATCAACCTATCTGCTGCTGAAGAAAGATGAGTCAAGTAAGATGCTCTGGTTTCATTCTCCATTTTCATGTCAAGAGTCTCTCAAATAGAGGAACTTACAGTGCAAACATGCATCTAAAATAACCAAAATCTTGAAACTCTGCATGACTGAGTGGGTGGGACGTTTCTCTTTTTAGAGGGTGAGAATGGAAGTTAACAAATACTGACCCATGATGCAATTTCAGCATTAATGTCTCACATTTACTGATATTTTGTCTTTGTTTTTTTGTTTTTTGGTCCAGCAAAGTCCAAATATTTTCCATGAAACGTGTATTCACTCACTTTGTGTATCTTTATAGATGATTTTCCTATCAAGTGTCGGGCAAAGTCGTATGACTGTAACTTCAGCTGTGATTGGACCCACAGTACACAAAGAGCAGTGCGCCTTGGACTGGGCCATGACTGGTAAAGCAAAAATCACAGACAAATTAGTGTTGCATATAGTGTATCCCGATAAACCGTCAAGCTGACATAATTATACCTTTCTCAGTTACATATTTCACTCGATGTTTGTTTTATTGCTTTGCCTCTGCAGCCGAGAAGGTAGGGAGTCGTGCCATTGGGTCAGCAGTGTTCGGCCTGTAAAAGGAAAATTCCACTTTAATTTGTCCCACTCCCTCTCACCCTACGCTGAGGAAACCACCATGCTCGAACTCACTGCCGAGGCCATCACCACGGACTCAATCCTCAGGGGGACCAAGAGTTTTTATCTCAGAGACATCAGTAAGTTGACTGAAACTGGGCTACATTAAAGGCATTCAGCAGAAGATGATCAAGATCTGAGGCATTTTTTGCAACAAAAAAAGGCAAAGTTGTGCACAATATACAAAAATATGACATTCAATAATAAGATCACACATTATCAAAAGGATTTGATAGTTGTTAATAGTTACAAAAACACCTGTGACAACTTAAGAATAAATTAAGAATTCAAGTACAGAAAAGAAAAGAAAGCAAATGTAAGTCATGTCATGATTCCTTACAGGTACACTTCTTTTTTTAAACTGTCATTTCTGTTCTGTCCAGTTCAACCCGATAGTCCCCAGATTGTCAAGTGTCAGGAGGAGGAGGAGAACGTGAATGTGACCATTGACGCACCACAGAGCTGGTCAACTCCTCAAAGCTTCTTCACTCTGGAGCACCAAATCGAATACGTCCTAAGAGATGATGGAACGGTAAACACCAGTCTGGTGATCTTCTTGGTGTCTATCAGTCTCTCCATTTGCCATTCTCATTTCTCGTTTTCTCTCTGTCCGATTTTAGTCTGGATTTTCCTCAACTGCTCTGATACCGAAGGGGGTCAGCAAGCTGAGGGCTCGCTCCAGAGACTCGCTGGTGCCCTCGAACTGGAGCCAGTGGACTCCCTGGAAAAATGTAACCTGCTGAATTTATTGAACCCAGCACTGTCCGCTCCTGCTCTTACATGTCTACAATGTCCTCTCATGTCCTCTTTGTTTTTTACTGTGTGTTTCTGGCTGTCTCCCTTTGGGGCAATCACACACTGATGGTCAAGAGATAACACAGCACTTACCAGACGCTCAGTAATAAGTATCAATAAGATAATAAGATAATAATTTTTATTTAAGACTGTAATCAAAATATTTATTTATGCATATATTTATTATTTATTTAGAGTCATACACACAAAAAGTAGAGCAAACACTATTATAGACATAGTGTGAAATGTAAAAAAGTTTTTCTTGCAAACAAAAGGACTGATGTTCTCCAATGTGAGGTCTGGTAACCACCAGAGGTCCTTTTGAAGGCAAATGGGGGTCCCTGGGAAATATAGACAAATTTGAAATTTGATTTACCAGCAAATAATATCCAATGAGGTTTCATGGCAAAACATCTTATAAAACTGGTCTCCACAGTTTTGCCCATTTAAGGATCCTTGAGGTAATCTACTTAATACATCATTTAAGATGAATCATAACTGGAGGAATTCAGGTCAGACATGATTTAAGACCTTCACATGGTATGTTTCTCGGCCCTGTAAGTTTCTGTGTAAGTGTGTTGGCGTTTCTGAGTATTGTGTCGGTTTGGCACTGTACAAACCAAATGGCTATTAAAAAACTCTGTGCTTCCTTCCTTATACATGTTCCTTCTTCTTTTATGTGTTGCTCATGTCATGTGTACAACTACTGACTGACTGAATTAGAAATCCCCACTGATTGTTATGCAGTGTCACCCTATATTTATGTACTTCCTGTACATGGGGGTGGACAAAATATTAGAAAGTTCTGAGTAGGGGTTTGTTCCTCACTTAAAATGAAATAACCAGAAACAACACTAGATGCTAGTTCTTTTAGTTACTAATCACTCATACTCATTAATTCACACTAATTAATTTATTGCTAAACAAGTCACCATTTATCATATTCAGTTTGTTGTAGTTAGTTAACACTTTTAGCAATACTGCTTTTTATTTCATTTGACACTATCACATAGTTAAGGCAGTAAAACCTGCAATTACATGTCCGGCATCTATAAATAATCTTAATGGTAATGGTCCAACACTTTTTAAAGAGGAAGAACAAATAAAAAAAAAATAAAAAAAGGCAATGCCGCAAAGGTTTATCATAGCTGCACTTGCTTTACAGACAGATTTGTTACAGATGTCTATTCACACACATTCACACACTGTACAAGGTGCCACCGGCTACACAGCTTTAACACACTCACACACTGATGGAACAGCCATCGGGAGCAATTGGTGGTTCAGTATCTTGCTCAAGGATACTCAAACCAATGGAGGAGCTGGGGATCGAACCACTGATGTTCAGATTAGTGGTCAACCTGCTCCATCGCCTGAGCCACAGATGACAAAAGCATTGAAACCTAGCTAGGATTATGATTTTGTCTTGTTTTGCATATAGTGTATATTGTGACATCAGCATGCACATTTTGCCATCTATTATTCACTGAAATCAGTGGACGCACCAAAAGCCTAACAAAAGTTGCAACATTTGGTATCCTCCCAAACCTTAAAAAGTAAAATCAATGTATTTGCTGACAAACAGGCAAAAAAATAATAATCTTTCCCAATTTTCTTGTCAACATTTTGAACACTGACCTTTCATTAACTCATTGCAGATGATAACCGGAAAAAAGAACCTATGCAAATGCAAAAACACTGAAAAATCTTGCTGCCCAGAGTTGCCATCTGGGTACTTGGACAACTGCAAGAAGAGAAGGGAGAAAAAAAAGAACAACGACGCCAAGTGGAGCCAGACTTCTTAAAAAGAAGATGCTTAATAATAACATGTTTTACAACTGGGATTGTGCTGGTGTACAAACACCTTTTATTTAGGAATTGTGAAATAATATGTGGATGTATTTATATGAAGCAATTAAACTGAATCTGTCAAGTGTTTGAACAAAAATTCAATACTGGGGATGGTTAAGAATTTAAATTTCTAAAAGCTCTGAATTGAAGAAGGTTTAACTTGTGTTGTTGTGTGAATACTTGGTTACCAGTTTATTGAGTATACCTATTTCTAACCAATGCTACTGCAGCAGCTATGCAATAATCTAAACCTTCATGATATTGTTCAGTTTTTGTTAAAAGTTTATTTTATTTTATTAGTATGCACTTTATTAAATGTATGTGGGTTCATGGTTTTTATTATCGTTTCTTAGCAGCTGGAAAATTGAAATGTGGTGGGAAAATTATTGCAAAACAGAGGAATGATTTTAGTTGATATTTTTCTCTTAATCTAACAAGAGGTCTGTTATGCAAGACATTCCCTCAACTTTACAAGTGAGTAAATGGCCCTTTAACGACCTTAAATTTTGCACAGAAGCACTGATATTACATTTACATGGCATATATGACTTATCACTGTGAGACATGGCAACAACTTAATTGCAAATTTGTTTAGGACAAAATGTGCAGCACTAAAGCACAACATCAACTGATAAGAGCCTTAAGGTGGGCCTTGCAGTGTTTATTAGCCGACACCCTGTCTTTAAGAGGGACTCTGTGACCAAGTTTAAGAGCTGCTGTATTGCACTACTTACATGGTGCATATTTCCAAATTGGTCTTTTTTCACTGACAAGACAGTTTGATTTGTCACAGTAAGAAATGCACAGGTACCACTAATACAATAATGATGGGTGAAATCCATTTAGCTGGTTTGGCTTTAGAGTGATAGTGTTGTGCACTGTTACACTGGAACGGAACCATTGTTAAAGGACAATGCCAAAAGTAAACTCAGAAAATTAATCCCCAAAAGCTGGTAAGCTTATCTTAGCATTAGGACAGGAAACATGGCGTGAGAGTTATCAGACCTTTCTACTTCCCTGCAAGAAAGCAAATAAGTGTATGTCCCCAAATGCTGAACAATGTATTTAATGTTGTTCTTGTTGCCTGTTCTACTGCTTGAAAATATATAAAATCTTTACACTACACATTGAGAGTTACAGGGGTGAAAGAAGTACTCAAGTGTGACTCAGACAGCTGTTCAGTTTAAAGTGGATTTATTTTCAATAAAGCAAGAAGAGGTGACTCGGGTCGATCCAGGGCACTCAGGAGAAACAGGGCAGGTAGGCTGAGCAGGGCTGGAAACAGGTTGGCAGGCTGGAGTGGCAGGCAAACGGGTGACCAGTGAGTGTGGATCTGAGGCACAGAGAAACGAGATTTAGGCTAAAAAAAGCAATAAGCCACAAATAGACTGTAATTGGTGCTGCAAGGTAGACTGAACGATCTGGCAGAGAGTGGACCGCAGAGCTGTACTGTACTCAGTACTGCTGGGGTTGATTAGTGGATGGCTTTCAGGTGAGCAGGCAGAATGACAGCAGGAGATGATGAGAGTCATGCCCAGACATGCAGACAGAGAGAGAGACAAACAAGGAACCATAGGAAACAGGAGAGGAGGGAAACAGCTGACACATGAGGAATGAAGGAAAGGCACAGACTATGACAACTTAAAATAGCCCATTTCAGAATAATACATATTATATCAGTGGAGTGATTGCATTAATGTGTGCATATTGCAGCTGGTAAATGTGTGGCTAGCGGAGCAGAGAGGTTGTGTGTGTGAGACAGGGACACAGGGAGAGCGAGGGGAAAAATAGGCGCTAACTTGCGGCCAATGTATTATCACTTTAACGCAAAATGAACTACATTGATAGAAGCGATATTGTCCCGTGTGATATCGCGTTTAGAGATATATCGATATATATTAAAATCTCGAGATATTTCCTCCCTTCCCCGCTCCCACACCCCTCTTTTGCGGAGGGGATTTTCCATTGGCGGAGGGCTAAAACAGCTTTGGCGGCTACCAAAATATTTTTTATGCAGGGAAAACCCTGTCCTCCATTCCACCTGCCCCACAAACTCTCTCCGACTCCGGATCGATCCTCTTCTCCATCCACGAGGGTCAGGAATTGTGGTTGCCATCAGCGCTGCCGTGCTTGCACGTTTTCCACCTGTTCCCAACAATCCATCGCGGCGCACGCAATAGCATTCTCCACATCACAATCTAAACCAGACATCAGAGACCAGGGGGGTATTCCATCATCAGGCTAAAGGCAAATCCAGGCTTAAATAGCCAAGTCTGGCTAATGTGAGCCAGAGTTCTGTTCCATCAAAGTGGCTAAGATTAGCCTCACATCGGTAACCATGGAAACCATGGTTCTGGCTAAGCCTGATAGATCGAGCTAAACTCCAGTTTCCGTTCCATCAACCTGAGCCACAACTCTGTTTCATCAAGGTGGTAACCATGGTAACTTATGCTGCCGGGCAGTCCTGGTCTGTAGCAGGATTAAGGTGAGGATTAGCTCCATCTATGATCAAAAAATGTTCAATAGACAAGAACAGACACCTAAAAGACAGTTCTGCCAGTGCTTTTACACACTCACAACTGTCATGTGATGATAAAATATGTAGATCATAAAATATATAACATGATTAATCAAAAAATATTAACTATTAAAAAACAAATTAAAATGTAATAAAAATAAGATAATTAAAAAACCCACATACAACAATAAAGCCAAATTCAAACTAATAAAAACAAAACTATAATAAAATGAAACTGAGGCATTAAAAAAAGATTGTACATGTACACCAAACCACATGAATATGTGATTGCCCTCCCATCCCCACCCCACTGTGTTTCCAGTTGGCTAGCAAATTCACAGCCAATTAAGGTCAACTGACAACGGCTGTATAGGCTAAGGAGTGCATCCAAGGGAAGGAGAGGGACACACCCAGAGAGACACAGAGCAAGAGAGAGTAAATTAGGAAATAATGGCATGCCCCTTCATCGAGGACTAATTATGTCCTTGTAGTCCTCATACACTTCCATAAGGAGCGTTTGCACCGCCGCAGAAAAAGCCTCCGCTCACTCCTTTCCTTTGCTTTTTGACATTTTGCAACATTTTCGGCACTTGACTAGTGTGGGCTTTTTATTTTCATTTTTATTTTCAAGATGCTGAATATTGGCGCTTGGGCAGTGACTTCTGGCGTCAGACACTGACAAAAAAAAAAGCTGTCCTTTCATGTCGGTATGATGCACGGCTGGTCATGGTTATTGTGTAACGGCATCCGGCAGTATCAGAGGAAACACTGTGGAACAACACACAAGTTAAGGGGGCAGAAGTCCAAGAAGGGGTGGTGGAGGAGTCCAACAACCACCACTCCAACTACAAGTTGAGTCTTGTATTGTTTGTCTGTATTTTTATTGTTGTTTGTTCTTGCACTGTCACTTGTGTTTTTGTTGCTGAGTCTTTTGTATCTTAAGGCCCAGCTAGGGAGGGCATCGCAAATTAGCTTATGCTATAAATGCTGTGGTTCCCAACACCATGCTAATACTCCGGTTTCCCAGCAGGGTCATCTCCATTCCAGTGGCTCCACAAGGACCAGCAGGTAGAAAAACACCATCACTATCACTCCTGGTGATGGACTAAGAGTCTCATCCTACTCTCCAATGAGCTCAGTCCTGCGTGTTCTTTAATGAAGCAATAGGAGAAGATATTCGGTCTCAGTTAATGTAGTTTATTAAGCAGTAAAGGAATAAAATTACAGAGCTCTGGGTCTCAACTTCACGTCCCTGACGAACAACAAAGGTGTGTCAGTTCACGAAGTCTGACCTCCTGTCCTTTCCCTGACCCAGTATATTTGAGCGTAAGAGAGTGTCATTGTGCACGCAAGGCGTTGTCCTCTTCTCATTGGCAGTTCCACTTCCTCCTTCACCACACCACGCCCCTGCCTCGTGTTAATCTGACTCCTTCCCGCTGGCGGTGGGGGCGTGGTTCCTGTTTTGAAAGACAAGAGAACAACACAACTCCCTACACGTGCTGTACCTTACTATCTGTATATCACTTTCTATTCTTTTTACCATATATGAAACTAATTATCTAAGCATTGCGGTATGTGCTCCTCAGACTTCATGTCTCTTCCTCTCCTGTACTTCTCCACTTCTGCAAAGCAAACACATTCAGATCAGCTGAAATCATCTCAGTATTCTCATTGTTCACACATCTAAAACTTATATAGTGAAACACAACTTATAGTAAAACACATAACATCATTATATTCCCAACACTGGGCAGTGGCCGTTTTAGCAAGGTTTATTAACAAGGTTTTATTATTTGGCCTCTGAACTGAGAACCACAAGGGTATCCAAAATAACTGTCACAAGATCAGGACTCCTGGGATGTTAACAGCCATGATGGATGCTGATTGTCTCTGCTAGCTGATGTCCAACTGACTGAGTGACTATGTATTATAGAAATCAGGGACTGCATAGCAGAGGAGAACCAGGAAGGATAGACACCTCCTCTAATTCAATAGCTATGTTTACATCCAAAAGTGATTCGAATCATTGGGAAATGCGCATTAAAAGAAATACGAATCCTGTGTGTTTCCATTAAATGTACGGACTTTGGTGAAAACTACGAACTTGCGCGAGTTTTCCGCAGAACCGGAAACAAAACAAGTCTCGCATTCTTCTTCTACGTTTTCTGGCAGTTGGCAACCAGCTTGTAAATGTATTACCACCTTCCCAACCCAGAGTGTGGATATCACCATGGAGAGAGGCGCAATACGTCAGACTTAATTCAAACATAACTGTTTCCATCCCCCGTTTTGCAAATCAACATTTTTTTGAATCAACCAAAACCTGGCTAAAGCGAGCGTATTTTAGTTTGTGCGTTTGTGGGGATTTTAATTCTATATTTTGGCGTTTCCATCATAATTTTCCGATGCAATACTTCTAGATGTGGATCTAAACAGGCTGATGGAAACATGGCTAGTGGTACTGTACAGTGATGCCTGCATTTGA